AGGACATGCGGGATGGGGAAGGACATGCGGGATGGGGAAGGACATGCAGGACGGGGAGGGGAAGAGAGTGAGGGGGTGAGTGAGTGGGGAGAGTGAGGGAGAGGAAGAGAGGGAGGAGAAGGGGGAATGAGGGAGTAGGAGTGAGAGACATGGAGGGAGAGTGCAGGAGGGGGAGGGACAGTGCAGGAGGGAGATGAAGAGAAGAGTGCGGGAAAGGGAGGGAGAGTGCGGGAGGGGGAGGGAGTGTGTGGGAAGGGGAGGGAGTATGCAGGAGGGGAGGGGGAGAGGGACGGAGACAGAGAGAGTGAGGGAGGGGTGGAGTGAAGGGGGACAGAGTGTGGGGGTCAGCATGGAGGGTCAGAGAAGGCGGGTCAGATTTGTGGTAGGGGAGAGTGTGAGGGGAGAGAGTGAGGGCAGCAGTGGGTGTTCATAGAGGTGGGTTCAGATTGGGGGGGACGACTGTGAGGGTGAGATTGGAGGGGGCAGAGTGAGGGAGTGGCAAAGTGAGGGGGGCAGAGTGAGGGGGCAGGGAAATGGAGGCAGAGAGAGGGGGCGGGGGCGGCAGAGCGAGGCGGGGCCAGAGTGAGGGATGGACAATGGTGGTGGTGGTGGTGCGTGGGGTCTTCACACTGCGATGGGACAGCGGGCTCTCAGAGTTACCTTCACACGTCCTTTGGTCTGCAGTCAGCTCGAAGCCTGGCTCACACGCACAACGATAGCTGCCCAGAGTGTTCAAACATCGCTGCTGACACCCCCCACGGTCCTGCTGAGCACACTCATCCATCTCTACAACAACAAAATCCAAACAACAGGAATCATCACCCTTGGACAGCAAAGGAGGGGAAGGAGAGGGATAGAGGTAGGGATGGTGAGGGAGAGAGAGGGGTCGGGGGGAGGGAGAGTGGGAGAGAGAGGAGCGACAGAGAGAGAGGTGGAACAGAAGAAGGAAGGAGGGATAAGAAAAGGGAGAGTGAGGGGGGAAAAGAGGGTGTGGTTAGGAGACAGGGGCCAGAGTGAGATAGAGAGAGAGAAAGGAATGGCCAGAGAGAGGGAGAGGAGTGGGACAGAGAGAGAGAGTGGCTGGCAGAAAATGGAGGGGGGAGAAGGAGGAGATGGAAGAGGGGAGAGGAGGCAGGAAAGAGGAGGGACAGGAAGATGGAGAGACATGAAGAGGGAGGGAAAGAAAAGGAAGGAGAGAAGAAAAGAAATGATGGGAGTTCAAAAGTGAGGAACAACAGAAACATATTGCCCACAGCTTCATAGAGAAGGGATTGTTTATAATCCTCCCCTTTCCCATGAGCCCATCCCGATTTCCATTGGCCACATTTCCATCAGGAATTGAATCGATGATGATGCCCAGTCCCTTCCAGACTCTTCCCCTCCTGCTCACCACCCCATCTAGATCTTGGAGCAGGAACAGACCATTCAGCCCATTGTGTATGCTCTGCCATTCACTGCAACAGAGATAGACTTAGGCTGATTCAAATCATTGTTCTGCCTATTCCCCAGGCACTTTGATTCCTTCACTAATTAAAAAAAAACCTATCCATCTCAGCCTTCTTAAAGTTCACATCATTGAATACTCTGTTGTCTGGATCCAGAGACTTCTGCACCAACAGCACCTCAGATTTTACACCGTCATCCTGCCCAAAGTCTGTAACATCCTCCAGCCCCTACACTCCTTCCTATCTCTGTAACATCCACCAGCCCCTATACTCCTTCCTTTCTCTGTAACATCCTCCAGCCCCTATACTCCTTCCTTTCTCTGTAACATCCTCCAGCCCCTATACTCCTTCCTACCTCTGTAACATCCTCCAGCCCCTATACTCCTTCTTATCTCTGTAACATCCTCCAGCCCCTATACTCCTCCCAATCTCTGTAACATCCTCCAGCCACTATACTCCTTCCTATCTCTGTAACATCCTCCAGCCCCTATACTCCTTCCTATCTTTGTAACATCCTCCAGCCACTATACTCCTCCCTATCTCTGTAACGTCCTCCAGCCCCTATACTCCTCCCTATCTCTGTGACATCCTCCAGCCCCTACAGTCCT